TACTCTTACTAGGGTGAGTTTGATAGACTCGACATTTCTCCTAAAGGATTGTAGAGCGTTTGTTTGACCACTTTCAATAGAATAATGTTTTGAGTCATTTAGTTGAGGATGGTTGTTCGAATTAAATTCTCAATACAAATAATTGAGATCTATGCGTATTTTTATCTTAATTTGCTTAAATCCATGGATTTTCAAGTTTTCTTCTTGGACCCCCATTTTTAAATTTTCCATCAACATCTTCTCTCCCTCTCAAGATACTGCAGTTAATTTTCTTGAAAAACTTAGCAGATATTGAAATAAATTAATAATTTATGCTTGTGAAAACAGACAAAAACAGAAGAAGATGAATTGACAGCCACCACCAGAAAGCTTTTGTAAAGATAATAATATAAATGTTATTTTGTAGTACGAATTATTTTCTAAACTTCCAGTTCCAACCCACTCCCGTCCCCAGCTGTTGTAAAGATAATAATAGAAAATATTGTCACTGTTCGAGATTTATTCTTTAAATTTATTTTTCTCAAACTTATTTTCTCAATAAAATAATTTCATAAGTGAATTTAATTTTTTCTTCTAATTTTTAACCACATTCTAAAACAAATAGGGTTAAATTGGTCACTCAATTTTATACTTAGTGTCACAATGACCATCCAATTTGATTTTGTTTCACTATGATCACTCAACTTTATAATTAGTGTCATAATGACCACTCAATTTGATTTTATTTCGCTAAAATTATCCAATTTCATATAACGTTTTCCTATAACTACCCAATTTCATGTAACATTTCACCAGGTCACTCAACTTCTTTTTAACATTTTAATTAATTTTAAAACGGGTAAAACGATAACTTTTCATTATATATATGAAATAATTTTTTTAAAAAAGAAATTAAAATAAAAACTTAATTAAAAAAAAAAACTTAAAACGTTAATTTTAAAATAAGTTTTTTATTTTATTTTATTTTTCTAAGTAACTTTTTATTTTATTTTATTGTTTTAAGTAATTTTTTAAAATAAGTTTTTAAATAAGTTGAGTGGTTACGGTGAAACAAAATCAAATTGAGTGGCTATGGTAACACCAAATATAAAATAGGGTGGCCATCAGTAAATTTAACCCCAAAAAACACTATTGCAATATTTTTTTAAAAAGTGAAAATCAAACAAATCCGATGAGTCCGTTTGGCTGAACTTCTTTTTTGCTTATATTTTTTGTAGAGGAGTTCCTAAGAAATTTATTTTACGTCACTTTTCTTTAAAAAAACTATTAAACAAAGCACTTTCATAAAATTATTCAAATATATTCAAAACATCTTCTTAATTTCATAAATAATTTTTATTTTTCAAAAGTCCGATCAAACGACCTCTTCAATCATAATAGTCACTAAGGGGCCGTTCTCTTTGTGTTTCAGTTTTCTGTTTTGAGTTTTGAAATCGTTTTGTGTTTTGTGTTTTGAGTGTCCGTTTTGAAATTGTTGAAAATGCGTTCTGTTTGTTGTTTTGGAAAACTG